AATCATCAGAAAAGTAGAAACTTCAAGGAGCTGCCCTTCAGAAAATCACTGGAAAAGCACAAAGTCTGGGGGAAACAGGGGTTTGACTCACCCTCATTTCAGGCTGTGAGATTCAAGGCCTGATACCTCTTGTGCCTATTTAAGGTAATAATCACCAGTTCCCATATTGCTGTCTACACATTCTTATCTATCCAATAGCCTTCCACTCTCCTTCATGCAGCTCAACCTTCTAATTTGTGATCAGCAAACTCCCCTGAATCTATATCTTCTCTGAATGTGCTCATGACTGGCTGACCTTCATTAAAACCTGGCTCCCTCTTGTGGTAATTCTTCCATTGAATTGCTAACAGAACGTCTTTTTTTAAAAATTTTTCCTTCTCAGTCCACAAACCACAGGACCAGGAGACGAGTTAGGTGTCCTCCTTCCTCGTTAATGCTACGTTCCGGTCATTAATTCCCACCCATCCCCATTTCTTCTGAGGAAATTAATGCTATCTAAAGGTATGTCATCCTCCTGTGGCACCCTCTCCTGAGTCTTGATATTGTTTACTGAGCTACTCCCTATCATTTGCTGAAGACATTTCTCAGAGCAAAGAATTCCTCTCTACCTCGTTATCATTCTCAGCTGCTTCGAAATCCATGTAGATGAATTAGCCACACCCCAATCTCTTTCTGCCTTGAACTCTCACCTCTCCTCTACCTTAGATGCCCACTCCCACACTCAGCTTTGATTTCATTAGACATTGAACTATATCTCAAATGCAGACTTCAGACAATTCTTAGCCTCTCTCCAGCCCTCTTGTATTTTTATTAGCCCTCTCCCAGTTTTTTCTTTTTTTGTCCAGTTTGAATCACTCACTTGCAAACGCTCTCAACTCTTTTCCCCCTTTTTTCTCCATTTTCACTCTAGGAAAATTCCTGTTGAACTCTAACCTACACCATTTTGCTGCCCGTAATTGAGCAGCGAAATATTTCTGGGGGAAAGAAAAACATACAACTGGGCATATTTCACATTAAAGTCACAATCAAAGTCCTCAATGAGCACAAAATAAGTAACTCCTAGAACTCCCATGATGTCTCCTTAGTGAATTTGCTTTCCAGTATTCTGAGATGATTTATCAAGTCCTCTCTCCACATTCTCTACTCCATTGTGTTAAGTATTAATAATCTACTTAATATTCATTGAGATAATTGAAGACATCGAACATAACCTCTTTGTCACAGACAGCTAGAAACCTCACAATATCCATTCGATCTTTTTTGTAATAATACAATTCCATTCTTTAAATAAGCATATTGCCACCTTGCTAAAATATTTTATTTCCCAGCCTTCCTTGAAGCTAGTTATGACTCTATAACTTGGTTCTAGACAAGGAGATGGAAATGGAAAGGTGTGGTCTCGTCATAAAGTGCATTAGAAGGTATGGATGTGGCTTTCTTTTTCTACCTTCTCCAACTTACTGCATGGAAATCAAAAAAGATTGTAGCAGCTTTTATGCTAACAGGCAGAAACATTTTTAAGAAAAAGAGAAGAGTCAAGTAAGAAGGAATGAAAAGTACTCACTGTATGTCGTGATAAAAAATCACTTGGGGTCCTTGTCAAGGATCATTTCAAGGTAGTGGGAGAATTAGAAGACATTGCAAGGGCTAGAGTGAGTGAAAAGGTAGGAATTAAAAGACAGCTAATTTATAAAACTCAAGAAGTTTGATTATGAAAAGGATAAGAGAGATGGAGAAGTAAATTGAGAAAGAATTGGGATATAACGAATTTTTTTTTAATGGGAGATACTTGCTCATTTTCACATTATTTTTTACTTGCTGAAGGGATATATGTTGATTTTAAAAAGTTAATCAATCTAAAGATGACTGAAAGGATGATTAACATTCCCTCCACAGCTCTTCTTTTCTCCCAGACCCCTAGAAAACCCATTCTTCATCCATATTACCATTTTTTAACAAGACATTGTTCTAATTTTCTCTCTTGTGGAGATAATGCTAGTGTCAACATTAAAGGTTGGTAGAGACTACACATGCTATTATTCCTTGGGTGTTGGACCTGTGAGTGGTTTGTTTACTCTCAGATCCATTTCCAGCTGCCCCTTGCTCTGCTCTACACCACAGATATCTGACTCCTCTGTTTCCTTGGCTCCTTTGTCTATTGGCTTCTAATTAGTTTCCTGGATGAACTAGCAGAACACTAGAGGAGAGAAAAGAAGTCAGGATATTTATCGTTCTCTTTCTCTGGGCTCCATGGCAGGCTCAGCAGGAGCTGCCTCTCCTTCATGGTGTGATCCCACCTGGAGACCCTCAGTCCTTGAACTCTGGTGGCACCATCTTGTCCCATTGGACTTCCAGTTATAGGGGCAATTGTCGCCTTTAGCTGTTCCTAAGTTTTGGGTGTCTTACTAACACTCATTTTGTTTTTCATGTCTTTTATCACCTTTACAACTACTTTCCCATGTATATTCCCTCTATTAAACTACCTGGCATGGGCTATCTCTTCCTGACTTTGCCATGATTTGCTACAGCTATCATCATCACCATCATCATCATCATTGCCATCACAATGAGTCAGTAAATAGGAACTGGTTAAATGTAGAAACAAGCACCTCAGAAAGTAAGAGATGGAGTACAAAGCCTAGGTAAGAGGAAAAGCCTGCAATTGGAAGAAGGAAAAATATCTTCCTATTAAAAGAGAAAAAGGAAGAAAATATGCATGTAGCAGCATGTAAATAGTCAGTCCAGTTTATTTTGTATTACATTTTGTTATTTTTATACAGTCCATTCATCCTGGACATGTTCCAGGCAACTGAGACCAGAGTGTAATTGTACCTTATCTCTCAGTAACACCTTAGCAAGGTAGTGAGTCTCCAGGGAAAGATGACTGATTGTGTTATGCAGATACATCCTTAGAAAGTGTCACAGAACTCCTTACGTCCCAGCATGCACAGCAACAGCAGAATAGTATCTGTGCAACAAAAAATGGGGCAAAAAACCCCACAAACAAACACTTGCGTAGAATTTGTAGGCAGATTGAGACTTAGCTGAGCTCAAAAAATTCCTCAGGCATAGTATTGTGGGAGCAACAAACAGAAGGATTTCTCTCTCCCTAAGAACAGTAACAGAGAAAAAAAGAGATTTGCTGAACTTAGCTGACCAGATGAGAACCAAGAATAATTCAGTAGCAATCTGTATAGACTGATCACTGAGAAACAGGCAAGACAACGTAAGACTCAGTGTGGACAGAGCATGCTTAGGACTGAATGACCAACATCCCGTCCTATGTCTTGGGGCTGTAGAAGCTCCGTGGAACCTTTATACAGTACTGGAAGAGGACAGGGAGACTGGAAAACAATTCGGGTTACAGTTTTCTTACTCTGATGAAATAGAGCTCAAAATAGAAAATAAAAGTAGTTTTAGAAAAATAAATTTCTATTTATTATACATCTGAACTAATAAAATAAGATTTCTACCTGTGACAAGCAAATAAAAATAGTTGAAGATTCTTACAAGATCGGTTTTAAACTCATGTCAGAAGAAGCAGCTAATGCAATAATAGGAAACTTTATGAAATTCTGCAGTGGAGATATAACTGAATCTATTTTTTGCCAAAAAGAGAAAGCCAAGCTGGAAAAAAAAAATGCATCCTTATTTTAAAATGCTCAAAGAATATCTTGAATAATTAGATGAAAGACTGAAATCAACCAGAGTGTTACCTTGCATCTGTATGAATGAACAGTTAGCTTTTTGGTCATTTTGTTGTTTTGTTTTCACACATATTAAAAATATTGATATCTGTGAAGACAAATTTAATAGTGAAATTACTTGTAAGGGATTTTTCAAAAAATTTATATTATTTTTTTCAACTAGGAAAAAATAAAGATATATGGGACTAAAACTATAACAGGTAAAATCCAAGAGGGGGACTTCACACTGCCCGGTCTATATCCTGAACTCAGCAACAGCAAGAAATCTTTCAGTGAGATTCCTCTTTAAATTTTTTGCATCCTACTTTTCTCAGTATATTCAATTCGGTGGTAAAATGGTAAGTTAATAGTAATAATGTAAATAATTTTTGGCCATTTTATAATGGAATTTGAAATGGCTTATAAGCTTTCTTCATATACAGAGATAATTCTTTACTTGGCCTGTAGCATATGTTAATCGAAATTTATTTGCTGCTTTTCTTCAAAGAGAAAAATAATGATGTCCTGGCAAAGGGTAAACATGAGGAGAAGAAGAAAAGATTCACTGTTTATCTAACAAGTTGCACACAAATTCGGATTATTTAGCAGATATCTTTCAAGGCTGAGCATTCACATTCAACAACTGTTAGCCTACTGTGCACTGTTATAATGTCTTGACAATATCCTTATAATAGAAATTAAGTTTAAGAGTTGGAAAAAGAGACTTTATCACTGGTAACGTCAGTAGTTTTTTACCTTTCATTACATGCGACGAAAATTGTAGTGTTAGTAGTTTGAAAAAATGCATGAGTTAACGTTCTTCACTGAACATGAATAATCTAGTAAAAAAGACTGAGGAGTAAGTCAATGAATCCTTCACTGGCATATGACACAATTAACTAAATTCCAAGTAATAAGACTTATTTATTGGAAATTCCTCTGACAGCTCATTGAGCTGGGGAATGTTGGTTCACAAGTATATCTAGATATTTATGTGTCTAAACATTTGTTTCTCTAAAGGAAATTTCCCAGACAAGGAATCTGGTATGCAGTGATATTTCTCCATTCAACTAGATTTTCAATAAATAGAAATTTATTTTAGCAATTAAGCAAAAAAAAGTTTTTTAATCTCATATGGTAAGTAATATAAAACACCATTTTTTATGATAAAACACTGATGCTTTATAGCATTGAATAAAATTTTCATGAAATTTTAAGAATGGGTCAATGAGAGACATCTAGTCCACTAGATGTCCCTGGTTTATTATCCTATGCCATTAGAGACACTGCTGCAAAAAAGTTTGAGAAATATAGCTATGACAACAATTCTTTGGTCACTGATTTCACATTTTTTCAATAATTCAATAACTTTGCCCAATTTTGTCCATAAGCAAAAAGTACCTGCCTGGGGAGCCATCAGCCTTTACCCCTCATGGAGATCTTCTCCCTTTAAAAATAAGGATCTAGGCCCTGTTCCGAGATCCAGATGAAAGGGGTCAGACACTCTGGTAACTGAGTCATTTGTTAATTTACAAAGCCCTTAGTAGGCTCTTTGCAAAATTCAGCAGAGAACACCTATGTCTCTTTTTCCTTTTTCATTCAGTAACCTGGCTTTCAAGGGAAATAGAAAAGAATCTTCAAAAACGTCTGTCTGCAGTATGATAATAGCATAGGATCAGTAGTAATACTACAGATCACTAACAAATAGTAAAAACATAAGCTTAGTAATAATTATAAAGGGCATAAAGAAAGAAAAGGACAAGACTCTGTTTGAGGATGGCTTTTAACTTTCCAATGAAAAGAGAGGGATATTATTTCTCCTCCAAGAAACTTGGAGACGGAATAATATGGAATGTGTCATTATCTTGCTTCTCCGACCTGTGCTTCCACAAAAGGATAATATTTAGATTATTAGGCTAGCTTCCGTAAAATCTAATACTAAGTACTTTTCCAGACTTAATACTTCCCTGGATATGGAAAAGCAGCAAGGCCTGTCAAGTACAACAGCAGCCTCCTGTTGCTGCAGCGGTGGTCAGTATTTCAGACCTGCTTTGCATTCATCCCCATAGCATTTTGTGAAGTCTGTGCCTGAAAGAGAGCAGTACAGGATTTCCTGCAGATTTCAGTCTCATTGATTTATTAACTGATTTCTACACAATGGTTGTGTTAATATGTCCATCACTAGTGATGACACAGAGAATAATTATCATTCTATAAATGATCAGAAAAGTCATTTTCAATATGAAAGTAATAATCTTTTATTATTAAAAGTCTACACAGACCAGTTCTCTCTTTTCTAGGATACTACACTAACAGAAACTGTAAAGCAATGTCTTGAATACTCTTTCAGGGTGTTGAATATTATTGAAATCAGTGAGAGGATCAAAGTAAGCTCATGTTTTATAGGGTTAATTTTTTTCTTAAGTTTCCATGATGCACAGCTGAAAGAGCATCACCAGATCTTGCAACCATATGACCAAAATATTCATTATAAATTGATCAATAAATTGTATATTTTTTTAAAATACACTAGGCCTAAACAAGGACATATCAAACTATGATTTTAACTAAATGGTCTTAATTGGTGCTATAAATATAACAATGCATTATTAAAGGAAAATACTACCTAGAATCAATTTTGAATCACTTTAAGGGTGGGTGAACTCAAATTAATATTGACATTGTGCGCTTCATTCTTAACCAAAAGAAAAATAGCATTGGTAGAGAAGCTTCATATAATGAGATTACTCTGGTTGACTTTCTGCCATTTAAGCAAATAATCGCAGCTTTTTTAGATTGTTAAAATTATATTTCGGTGTGAAAAATTTTATTCTTTAAAAGCTATTTCCATTAAATAGAATTTTCTAATAGTTCAAAGTCTACGCTTGAAACTTCTATGCTGAATTTTTTTTTCTAGATTAATATATCTGGAAATTAGATGTTCACAATAGAGACTCTTCTCTTTCTGTCTCTTAATTTACCTTTAACACGTTATGAACACCTATTTTTCCCTCCTGTTTTATAAAGAAATGGGATATGTAATATAAATTTGCATTTTCCAATTCAGCATTCTTAAACAGTTATCTGCCAAATCTTATAAGGGTAAGAATCCTCACAATTCCTACAGCATCATGAACCGTTACAATCCACACCTCTCTATCCATTTTCTTGAACGCAGTCACCGTGACAGCATGGACCTTTTAAAGATTTTATTTTTCCTTTTTCTCCCCAAAGCCCCCCCACCTCCACCCCGGTACATAGTTGCATATTTTTATTTGTGGGTCCTTCTAGTTGTGGCATGTGGGATGCCGCCTCAGCATGGCCTGATGAGCGGTGCCATGTCCACGCCCAGGATCCGAACTGGCAAAACCCTGGGCGCCAAAGCCAAGCACGCGAACTTAATCACTCGGCCACAGGGCCAGCCCCCAGCATGGACCTTTTAAGACAACAATATAGTTCATACCATTATGTACACCTTGAACCATACAGAGCAGTTCCTTTCTTAACATGACATTTTAATAGTTTTCATTTTTGTAATTCATTTTATCATAAGTTGTTCGGATGTTTTCGGCATTTGGACACTTGAAAAAACAATTTTCTTCTGTATGAATATAAGAGCTCTATTTTTTCCAAATGAAATTAGAGTTTATGGGTTTCTATTTCCTCATCCCTCTCTTTCTTTCTTTTTTTCTGTCTTTCTTTTTTCCTCCTCTCCTCCCACCCTCCCCTCCCTCCATACCTCTGTTTTTTTTGCTTTTGACAAAATCTTCAAAGAAGCAAATAATTGCATCATACTCTAGTTCACTAAATTAGTGATCTTATGTGAAAATACTTCCACTTATTTGTATATCCTCAATGAATTCTTTTATATTTCTTTAAGTAAATAGCACTTTATGTGTAAGTATAATACTCATAAACTGTAATAGTTATACTTTAATTTTACCCACTGTATTAGTTAGGGTTCACTAGGGAAACAGAACCAATCAGATATATATATGTAGAGAGAGAGATATATATACACATACATATATCTTTATATCTATATCTAAAAATATGTGTATCTATCTATGTATCTAAGAGATTTATCATGAGGAATTGGCTCACATAGTTATGGAGACTAAGACCCACAACCCGTTGTCGGCAAGCTAAAGACCCAGGAAATCTGAAGGTGTAGTTCCAGTCCAAATTCAAAGGCTTGAGACCCAGGAGAACCAATGGTGAAAGTTCCAGTCCAATTCCAAAGATGAAAGAAGCAGGAGAACCAATGATGTAAGACCTAGTTCAAATGCAGGAAAAGACTGATGTCTCAGCTCAACAGTCAGGCAGAGAAAGAAAATTCCTCCTTCCTTTCTTTTTGGTTCTATACAGTTCCTCAACAGATTGGATGGTGTCCACCCAAGTTGGGGAGGGAAATCTGTTTTACTCAGTCTACGGATTCAAATGCTGATCTCATCCAGAAACACCCTCACAGACACATCCAGAAATAACGTTTAATCAAATACCTGGACATCTCGTGGCCCAGGCAAGTTGACGTATAAAACTAACTGTCACATTCACATATTTTTGCTCTATTTGACTCTTTTTCCCTTTGCTCGTATTGGTAAAATATATTATCTTATAAAATTATGTCAAAATATACTCTTCACAATTATTTTCTTCCTGAACTATGAAGTGTCTCATTTGCTTCCATTATGTTTTTCATTTTGTTGTATAGGAACTCAATAATCAGGTGTACTATAGGAATTCAAAAGCAATGCAAAGCGTATTAGCAAAATTATAGTAAATTATATAATTGGTATATCAAGTAGGTTTATTTCACATTATAAATTTTAACTAAAATCTTCTTAAATGGATAAATTATGATCATTTATTATTTTAGTTATATATGTTTTCAAGTATTCTGAGTCCCACATGATGACACCTATTACCATATTGAACACGTATTTGCTAATAAAATTGAGATTACGAAGAACTAAACATTAAAAAATAATAACCTGTTTTCATACCAATTAATATTGAAATTCCACCACCTCCTAAGATAATTTTCTTCTTCAAAAGTAAGATATGTAATATATAAAATATTCATTGAAGTTCTATTACAATTAATATTCTCCTTGATTTACTAAGGAAAAAGTGCAATTAGATAAAAGTAGACTTTGGTCTATTCCTCCTCTTTAAGATTTTTTGCTGTTTGATAAATCACCATACTCTATTTCTTGGCATGGGGTATAAAAAAGTTACTCTGGTGGGGCTGGCCCCATGGCCGAGTGGTTAAGTTCGCGCGCTCCGCTGCAGGCGGCCCAGTGTTTCGTTGGTTCGAATCCTGGGCGCGGACATGGCACTGCTCATCAAACCATGCTGAGGCAGTGTCCCACATGCCACATCTAGAAGAACCCACAATGAAGAATATACAACTATGTACTGGGGGGCTTTGGGGAGAAAAAGGAAAAAAATAAAATCTTTAAAAAAAAATAAATAAATAAAAAGTTACTCTGGTAAGCCAAGTTATCTATTAAAATTAATAATAATCGGTATTTATTTAGAAATATTTAATGTGAATGATGTTTGCAACCATTGTGACTATTTTTAAGATAGTTTTATTATTTGATTGTTTATGATATTAAAGTGTTCGATTTTTTATGAGGTTTAATCAACTATATATCAAACACACACATACATTTTATAAGCAGCTGTTATTTTTATAGAAAATAAAAATAAAAAGTTAAACTAGAACAAAGATTTTATTTCTCTGCTACTAATTAGGGAATTGTTAAAGGCTTTGTCATGTTTCTGCAGCACAGATTTTTATCAATTATCTGTTGCCTTCATTAGACTGGATAGGAAATGATGGAACAGTTAATGCCTGGGCTTTGCTTCAAGTAGGAAGATATAAGCGGAGTAACAATCATTCAGTAGGACGAGTGATTTGTCTTCAGGCTGAAATCCAAGTAGCAAGTTAATGCTTCATATTCAAGAAGATTTTAGGTATTCTGCCCTTGGTTGCAAAGGAAAGACTGTTACTGTGGCCAGAGAGAAGAGCTCAGCATAGAAAAACAAAGATAACTCAGGATATAGAAGCAAAGGGATAAAATATTGATGATATTGACACTCCCACGATATTGACTCCAAAAGATGAATCAAGCATAGAACTGTGCAGATGATGTTGGACAGGGTAATGCAAGAGGCTTTATTAGAGGGAACTATGCAGAAGTGCATCCAGAGTGAGGTAATAGCCTACAGCAAGCCATTAACCGCATCAGTGCAGAACAACTGGTCGTAACTGAAAGATACTCAGCAAAAACAGAAAATCTTGACTGAATCAGAATAATGTTTTTTTTCCTTCATTTATTAAAAGTTGTAAGTGGACTATCAGAATACCATGAAAAATAATTTTATTTCACGTATTTGTTCTTATAATAATGTATACAAACTAAGTTAATTTTCCGTTATAGAGTGTGATTGGTTATTCTCCATAAATCTGTTTGTTATCTACAAGACAACTGAATTGTTTTTAAAATGCTTATAGGTATTTAATATATAGGCAATTGGGTTAAATTTATTATGAGTTTTAAAGTCAAGTGAGCAAAAAGAAATAAGTGGCACTACTTCCAAAAATCTTGTCACTATAAGACTCATTTCTGTTTGGCTCCCTTACAGTGCCTAATTAAAGTATATGATTGATTTTGGTAAAAGAAACACTGGGCAAATAATAAGTTAAAGAGGAAATGTGTAGAGACAATGATAACAAAAAAGTATAATTATGCTCAAGTCTAATTATTTCTTTGTCTGCCCCCCAAGGTATTGTATTTTATTTTCTCCTTCCTATGGAGTCTCTCCAGGTTGATCTTGCCAGTGACACCATATTACACAAAACTGTCTGTGAAAAGGAGAAAAAGTTTACAGAATTTGCCGTCTATGGTTGTGAATTAGCTCTTCTCAAATAACTATTGACAAAGTCACCAAATCCAAACTGCCCAAATGAATTATGTTCTGTGATATGAAGCAAGTAATTCACTTTCAGTCCTCCTTGACCCTCTTTTCATTCTTGCCCATAAAACCTAATGGCTTGGTAATCAGCATTTCTGCTA